TACAACACATTACAGCCCTACTTGCAGAAAACACCGGTCTCCCTGGCTTCTCTAATGGTGTGTTCATACTGAACTCACGTTAAACAACTTACAAGTGACCCCTGGTTAAAATCGTTTTTAAATGGCTCGGCTCCAATCGGCATACAGTGGAAACTTCAAACCCGGGTCGACCTGCTACTGTACATTATACCATTGCGTAGAATGTACATACATCACAACATCACGCCAGTTTCATCTGAAATAATAAGCCGAAGCAACTCTGTTGTCATTCGATAAACAGAGCAGCACTAGTAAGAGGGATTCGCACAGACAGAAGAGCAAAACAATATTGCACGCGGCTATGTGCTGGCTGTCCATATTGCTTCCCATTGTTTGGTGACAGCATCAACACTAACATAGCGTGATGGCGTCACCAGTCATCCAATGGGGCGGTGAAAGAGGCCATGCAGCAGACCTGTCTTTTTTTGCCAATGGGTAGGGAGCCAAATGCAGATTGTTAGCAGGTCAAAATGTATTTGAAAAACCTGCTTTAAGCCGCTAATTTCAGTAGGAAAGAGGCATAAAGGCATAGAGGCATTTTTTCTGCTTAAAGTACTTTAGAGAGTGCCATCATTCAGATGGTCATATTAAAGTTTGACATTGGGTTCTTAGGTTTCACTCCTTCAGGATCTGTGAATAACTCAGAAACATTGGGAAGAATTGCTCCTGGTTTGACCACAGCCTGTAACAAATAGCCCAGGTTAAGAGGTTCTTGACTAAAGTATTTTAACTACAAGTTTAAGTATGTTAAATAGATTGTTTTTTTGAAGTGAAGTTGATTAAGCTTATTATTTACCAATACAATAATATCACAGCTGACTGCTAGAGAACTATAAAACTCCTTCACAAAGGCCTACTGCGCATTAGGTTAATCTTTGCCACCGGCCACTGTGACTGAAGGAAACCACCATAGAGAACTATATTTTGAAGTATAACATACACTATATTGCCAAAAGTATTTGCTCACCTGCCTTGACTCACATATGAGCTTAAGTGACATCCCGTTCCTAATCCATAGGGTTCAATATGACGTCGGTCCACCCTTTGCAGCTAGAACAGCTTCAACTCTTCTGGGAAGGCTGTCCACAAGGTTTAGGAGTGTGTTTATGGGAATTTTTGACCATTCTTCCAGAAGCGCATTTGTGAGGTCGCACACTGATGTTGGACGAGAAGGCCTGGCTCTCAGTCTCCGCTCTAATTCATCCCAAAGGTGTTCTATCGGGTTGAGGTCAGGACTCTGTGCAGGCCAGTCAAGTTCATCCACACCAGACTCTGTCATCCATGTCTTTATGGACCTTGCTTTGTGCACTGGTGCACAGTCATGTTGGAAGAGGAAGGGGCCAGCTCCAAACTGTTCCCACAAAGTTGGGAGCATGGAATTGTCCAAAATGTCTTGGTATGCTGAAGCATTCAGAGTTCCTTTCACTGGAACTAAGGGGCCAAGCCCAGCTCCTGAAAAACAACCCCACACCATAATCCCCCCTCCACCAAACTTTACACTTGGCACAATGCAGTCAGACAAGTACCGTTCTCCTGGCAACCGCCAAACCCAGACCCGTCCATCAGATTGCCAGATGGAGAAGCGCGATTCGTCACTCCAGAGAACGCGTCTCCACTGCTCTAGAGTCCAGTGGCGGCGTGCTTTACACCACCGCATCCGACGCTTTGCATTGCACTTGGTGATGTATGGCTTGGATGCAGCTGCTCGCCCATGGAAACCCATTCCATGAAGCTCTCTGCGCACTGTTCTTGAGCTACATGAAGTTTGGAGGTCTGTAGTGATTGACTCTGCAGAAAGTTGGCGACCTCTTCGCACTATGCGCGTCAGCATCCGCTGACCCCGCTCCGTCAGTTTACGTGGCCTACCACTTCGTGGCTGAGTTGCTGTCGTTCCCAAACACTTCCATTTTCTTATAATACAGCTGACAGTTGACTGTGGAATATTTAGGAGCGAGGAAATTTCACGACTGGATTTGTTGCACAGGTGGCATCCTATCACAGTTCCACGCTGGAATTCACTGAGCTCCTGAGAGCGACCCATTCTTTCACAAATGTTTGTAAAAACAGTCTGCATGCCTAGGTGCTTGAATTTATACACCTGTGGCCATGGAAGTGATTGGAACACCTGATTCCAATAATTTGGATGGGTGAGCAAATACTTTTGGCAATATAGTGTATATGTAACATTTTCCTACATTTGGGCACATACATATATCAAATTCAATACAATATCCAGTATATGGAAATCATATCATCAGTGCTGTATCAAAATGTTTTTGACTAATCCGTCCAATTAACATTACTCCCAAAACTCTTTATCTCTTTTCTTTCTGGTAAACGTTTGTCTGCCAAAACAATGTTGCAACATTTTACATTTCCAGGGTTTTTAAAAAGCCCAATGCAACAAAAAAGTTTTAATTACATCTGGAAAATTGAAGATTTGAAAGTGTACTTTGCTACATAGAATAAGTGGTATACAATTGCGTCTGGTATATAGAGAATAAACACAAATCATCTAATACTGTATGGATTTGTTCTTATAACCATTTTGCACAAGGGGCATTTCCAAATGTTTCAAAAAAGTATAGATTAAGGAGAGTGAACAATAACTACTAGTTATTATCTATGAGACAAATTTCTGTATTGTTCTTGCAAACTTCCAAGTAGAACTTTAAAATCATATTCATATAAAGACCACAAATACATTAAAGGTAACTTAAAACCAACACTGTTTATTTACTGGTAAACTATCAGGATTCCCGGAGTTATCTATTACCTGCCAGGTCAACTGAGATCTATTATTTTTACAATCTGCCAATGTCATTATAGACATGTTGCGCTTCAATGGTTTTCAAGCCGTTCAGACAGAAATGTTGTGAAAGTATACATTACATTCTAGAGATTTCAGTCACCCTTATGTGCCAAGGATCCCCCATTTTAAAAACTTTATTGTTTCATAAGAAAATTTTATTAAGTTATCGCCTTCAAGGTATACTCCAGTATGACAAAGTCAGATTTATAACCACTGAAGTTGTCATACCACTCCTGCAGTATATGTGTTGTCTAAATCTCATCAGTGGGTTGGTAGCAGCTGTGGCATTAATACCCCTCCCCCAACGCTCTCCTGTAACTGCAAGCTCTACAGGTTCAGGTTGTTTGATAGAAGAAGAAGGGGAGTGCCAGAACTTTTCTGTCATTTTTGGCCCTTTTAAGACAATGCACACTCTGCTATATTGTAAAACACCTCAAAGTCAGCTATATTTGGAACACTTTGGCTAGCACAAGAAAATGGACAACTGAAATCACACCTACAGAATTCCATACCAGCCCCAGCCTATCGTGCACATTTTCTATCCCATCTTCAAACAAAATGTCAATCTCATACAGTTGGAGTTTGCTTTTAATTGGCACCTGCTACAAGCTCACTGAGCTGAGACCGGGTCAGTTAAGATTCTCAAGTTCAGCTTGGAAAGCTAAAATATACAAAGTGAATCCTTTTTGTGTGGTTAGTTAAGTGTGTGGGACGAAAGATAGATTCACACTAATATTTAAATAAAGATATATATTTTTTATTACTTGGGAGATGGTAAGTTTCATTTTTTTCAATAATCTTCCTTTCACAGTACAACTTTGCAAAATGCTTAGCTGAGTTCTCAGTTATCTACTTCAAAGTTTGTAAACTTTAAATTAATGTCATAACTACAAATACTTAGTGACTAAATTCTTGAGCTGTGTTCACAGTTTGGTTACTCAGTCAGTGTTTCTGGCTGCCAGCTGAATTTTATTGCTAGCAAAAAAAACAAATGTTCACTATATATACATCAATGATTTTCACCTCTCACCTTCAAACTATAGGGTTTTAAAAATGCAGTCCTAACATTCTGGGATGTTAGCCTATGTATTTCTATAAGGAAAAAAACTTGCAAAACCATTTCTGTAGGACTTTTTTGTCAACTTGATCTAATAAGCAACTATTTTATAAAACTTATATTTTCACCAGGACCTACACATAAAATGTGTCTATTGGTTGCCATTATAGATAACTCTGAATGAGCAGGAACAAGAGTGTCAGTGCTTAAAATTTTCATAAAAGTTTTAACTTTGTCCAGAAGTGGTAGATGCAGAAAGACTGGAATCACACAGAGATCCATATCTATGTTTTAACAGCCACTAAGGACCTGGCACTCACTTCCACTCATTTTCAAGCTTTTTTTCTGGCATAACTCTGACCCAAAACCTAACCAATACCAGTACAAACCTGACCCTAAACCTAAATCTAATTCACACCTTAGTGATAAACCTACCCACTGGATCGCACCAAGAAATGAGGACTAGAAAATGGCTTATACTTTGCAAGTAAAAATAAAAATAAACAAAACTGTGGTATATAGATACACAATGAACAGACTGAAAATAAAAAACAAAACAAAGGGAGAAACTTTTATCAGGTCACCGGAACACCTTGGGTGTAGTATAAGTATTGTGGAGGGGTGCACTATGGGTTGTTATTATTATTATTTTTTTCTTCCTGCTAAATATTCAGCCAACAACTTTGAGTTTGAATAAACAATTACTTATCTTTTTTTTCTTGAATAAGAGGTACGAATAGATAATACAAAGGTTAAATTTGATTTATTTTGCATTAGCAGATCATTGCAGATTATTAGTAGAACCTACTGTATTTGGTACCTTTTTTTACTTTTTTATACACATTTGAAAGGAACTGGCACCTTTTATAGAAAATTCACTTCTTTTTTTTCTTTTTGTAAAGTTTTACAATCTAGAACTTAAATACTCTTATTTAATTATATTTTTTATAAACCACAGTTTGGTGATGGGGGTTAAAACAGGTCAATTCACAGAGAAAATAATCTTTGCTTTTTACAATATCGGTTTTCTTATGTCAGCGCAGAAAAAATGAGAAGCCTGAGATTGATCGACTAAGTGCAGACTACTCATACCTTCTGTGTCCTGGCCCCAGCTGTGGGTAATCAAAGAGAGGATAGCCATTGCTGTTCCCAGCCATCTGACAAGCCACCGCCCCCGTCGCATCCTCTGTCAAGCGTTATTGCCCACCTGGACAGAGCAAAGAAAGGGAAAAAAGAACTGTACACCATTCATATATCAGCAATCTGAGAAGGCTTTTCGCATGCACAGCTGTTACTAATACATAAGCTCAACCCCTTGCGGATTTCTACCCATAAAGTATTTTCATTAGGTTGGTATTTTTTGCAAAGGAGATTAATCTTGTCTGTCAGCTTTGCAGAAATTTGTACTAAACAGTTATTTTTTTAGAGGAAAGAACTTATTTTCTCAAACACATTTAAAAAAAAAAACAATACAAGCAATTTGTAAGCTTTTTAATATTCAAATAAAAGAATTACTGTTCTAAAGGCAGTTTTGAAATTCTGATAGTATTATGATTATTTTGCTTGTTGGTATTTTATTTTACCTTGTGTGAGTATATAGACATATTTCCCTTATGTATCTCAATATAAAGAAAGCAAGACTGGCAGCAAGTCGGGCACCAAATAAACACTAATTAGAACCTTTCATTGAAATTTATTTAAAGCAATTTTTTAACAATTTCCGAAATTCACAAAACTATAACTTATAGATGCATTGTAGACAAATACAAGTAAAAAATACACAAAGCGTTACATAAATACTCTGGTGCTAGATCTGATTAAATCCAGTTAAAAATAAATACAATTTCAACCGATCAGATCTTTAATCCATTGGAACCAGAAATCTTAGCTAGGGTTAGCTACTCTCAACTAATGCTGAGCATGAATGCTGGGTTTTCCACCAGGCATTAGTAAATTAAACTTTTCCTCAGGAGTTAGGACTCCTGGCCGGAAAAAATGGACATGATTTACAACTTAAGGTGAAATTCAGATTTGGGTTGTTGAAAGTCTGTCCCTTTGAGACCCTAGTTTCAGGGTGCTGGTCATTTCTTCCCTTTCTGCTGCTGGACTTTTAGAATTTTGGTAATTTCATAATCATATTTTTGGGATAAATTGTGATTTGAAGATGATATAACCATTAGAATGTTGACAGTCACTGGAATACTTTAAGAAAAAAACAACCTTTTTTGGAATACGCTGGACCTGCATCGGATGCTTCGAAGGCAGCAGGGATGGTTGTTGTGGTGGTCATTTATAATGTTACGGGCTCGGAACACGCAGCGGTGGGGTGAAATGTCTTTTATGGAGGGAAGAGGAACCCTGATAATCTTCTCTGCCTTCCTCACTACTCTCCTCACCTTTTTCCAGTTTTTGCAGCCCCCACAAACTGCAGCTTTCCCAACAATTTAAGCCTTTCTTAAAATAGACTAATATACAAGACACTTTTCTATTTGACCCTACTTTACCTTTTGATATCCTTTTTCACTCTCCTTATCACTTTTCCCTCAGGTTCCACCTGGAGGGAGAGGAGACAAGAGTTTACATGCCCGATCAAGGAGGGGTGAGTGCAATCAGGCTTGCATTCACCAATTCTGCTTCCTCCAATTTACTTCTTATGTGTCTATTTTCCTCTCTAGTTAGTTCTCAGTTACAATTTATTCTTCCTCACACATTCATAAACCTGATACAGCTATGGAAACGAGAGATTCCAACAAATGTGCGCCGGCCCCGTGCACTGTCTTTGATTCTCTGAAACTGCCTTAGTCATTTGACGGAGTGGGGAGAGTCATGGAGAAGAGTGTTCTTCGCCAAATGATTACCAGTGCAGTTCTCTTGTAGTTCAAGCTGAATGATTAGAAACATAGGAAGTAAAGACCAGCCAAAATCTCCTCACATTGGTACAAACTAGTGTTGCGCCAAAGCCATTTTTTTGACTCCGATATTGATACCCGATACCTAGCTGTGTAGTATTGGCCAATACTGATACCATACAGATAATATCTGTTTAAAATTGATGTGTGTGTGTGTATATATGAAGAATTGCGTACTACCTGTATGTAAAATATTTGCCATCATGGCATTGTCAAGCTGCTGCCTACCTTTGTGAAGCAGGAAAAAGACTAATACAAAGTGAATCCAGTAGAACTTTTTATTGCCTACATGGAATGGGTGACAGTAGCTGAATAACCTTTTGGCTGTCAAAATGCTATCCGTGCCTTATTTGCTGGTACTCGCCGATACCACTATTTTAGTGCAGTATCGGGGCCCCAGCCCAATACTGGTATCAGTATCCGTGCAACACCAGTAGAAACTGTTCTTAATTTGATAGCGAAATCTGAAAGAATAATCCTCACTATGATATGAAAACAAGAGTGCACAAAGAAACACACAAATTGTCACACTATTCTTTCCACTGACTCGCATTAATATTGCCTTAATTTCTGTCTAACGCATTCACACCTTGGTCCCCCACCAAAAACCCCCACCACAAAATAAGAATTTCTCATCGGGACCAGTCAGTGGTCCCAACAATTATCTTTAAATCCCAAAAGTGTAGCATTTTTCACGGTAATTGTCCCCACAGTCAAACACATGGCCACACATGAACACAGAGACACAGACACGGAAGTCATGCAGAAAGGTTACTATAGCATCTGTGATGCCTGCCTGCACTGATGCTGGATCCAGTCTTAATTTCATAAAGACATTCAGGAAATTAGGTTTCGATCTTGAGATATCAATATTGTAGAGCACATTTGGCTTAGTCCAAGTAGGCAATCAGATTCTATATATGTTATACCACATAACCAGAAGAGGACACTTTGGCAATAAATAAAAAGACACAAGAAACATCCTTTAATGACATGCCAGAAAAAAAAGAGAACAGATTTTCTGCTTATACAGAGCAGACAGCAACACAGCAGTCCCCTTCCCCCAGCAGTTCACTATGTCCAAATAATTAATCAGCTCACCTGAACTGATTATGCCGGTGCAGTTAGCAGTTAGATAATGGCATGCACTTTCATACAAATCTTTTACATAAATAAATTGTTACTATGGTAGCTTTTACTCATGGTTATCATTATATGAGAATCTCATTCCAGCTGACAGAGACTGCTCTCTTTGTGTCTCTTGTGGACTCTTGTAATGTGACTGAAAAAAAATACCTTGGTCAACCTAGGGCCACTCCCAGAACATTAGGAATGTTCTCCTTTAATTAAACTCTAACAACAATCAGACCTCTAGTAAGATGAATACAGAAAACAGATAAATGCAATTATTTTATTGTATTTAGAGTAACCAAATGGCTGAACATATTAAACATTTTGGTTTTTTTTAGGGAGGGGGTGTTTGAAAAATTTGAGACCATGAATGCAGGTGAAAATTAAAAGCAAGACCTGGCTTATCTTTAGCTCATCAGCTCCTTACAACATGGAACTACATGTGATATGAGGTAGTGCATTATTGCCCCCAAAAAAATGTCCACATGACAAGTTTCTCTGTGCATTGAAAATTTGTTTTTCCCTAATATACAACTATAACCCCACCACCACTATGGGTCACTCGACCCACATGAGCAACTTGATTCACCGCATCAGCTGTAAGCATTTGCCAGGGTAAAGCATACTTATGCAAAAATCATGCTGTCTAAACAGAATCTTGATATGCCACACCTGTAAACTAGATGGATTTTCTCAGCAAAAGATAATTGCTTACTAACACAGATGTACTCTAGACAAAAAATATAAACAATCTTTGAGAGAAATAGACCTTATGTACACAGAAACCATCTTAAAGGAATAGTACACCCAAAACATGATTAGCCTTCATTTTCTACTCACCCCCATGCTGAACAACACTCTGGAGTACTTTTTTGATATCTCAAATGCATCTGGAGATCTGGGAGGCTTCTTGCTGTCTGCTGACATTCAAATAATGGAGGTCTATGGTGCCCGAAGCAGAAAGTTCCATAAAAGTCCACAAAAAACGTGTCAATATTCCTCCATACTGCTCGTCCAATGTATTCCAAGTGTCCTGAGTGGGTAGCGTCCATAATTTACTCGAAACGAAGTCATTTAGAATGTTTTTAGAGCATAAACAGTAGTGTATAGGATTTCCTAAAAGCGCGCGCCTGCGAGTTCACGAGCCTACGGAAACCGCGGCAGACCAAACCAGACGAAAGTGCGCATTCATCTCGGCAAAGAACTCATGCTCTTCCTCAACACTGAAGTCCTCAGACATTTTTCTTTCGTTGTTTCTTTCTTTGTACAGGTAAACAGAAAATTTCTTCTTCTACGCTTGCATTATCGGCAGAGCAGACGCTGAATGCGCACTTTCATCTGGTTTGGTCTGCCGGCTTCCGTAGCGTCGTGAACGCGCAGGCGCGCGCTTTCAGGAAATCCTATACACTACTGTTTATGCTCTAAAAACATTCTAAATGACTTCGTTTCCAGTAAATTCTGGATGCTACCCACTCAGAACACTTGGAATACATTGGACGAGCAGTATGGAGGAATATTGACACGTTTTTTGTGGACTTTTATGGACCTTTCTGTCTCGGGCACCATAGACCTCCATTATTTGAATGTCAGCAGACAGCAAGAAGCCTCCCAGATCTCCAGATGCATTTGAGATATCAAAAAAGTACTCCAGAGTGTTGTTCAGCATGGGGGGGGAGTAGAAAATGAAGGCTAATCATGTTTTGGGTGTACTATTCCTTTAAATCATTCAGCTTCTTATGAAAAAAGGAGAAACCAAAAATGTATTTCGTTATTACTGGTCAGAATGTGTTGTTGAAATAAAAATCATATTATAATTGGGATTTTTTTTTACAGTTCAACTGTTCTAGTCTGTAAGGTTTAACACTACATAACATGTTTAACAGTGTTACTTTAAGCATTTCTGTCAATATTCTTCATTTACTTTTCAGGAAATCTTTCCATACACACAACCACACAATTCAAGCCGATGTACTCCAAGCGAACAGCAGGAAACAGCTATGTTCCCTTGTCTCATGAGGCAACAAGAGAGATTTCATACCGGTTTTCCATTCACTCACTGCCCTCTTATCTCACAGTATCCCAGTAGTGTTTCCTTTTGAAGCAGATGTGATTCTACACATTTGTACATCTATATTTCTTAAGAGGTTTGCCCATGATTGCTTTGATC